ATCTTCCTCCTCTTCCTCCTGCTTCTGGCCACAGGTACAGAACTAGAAGTTATTTAGATCGTGGTTGTGTACGTGTGTGTGTGTGTATATATATATATATATATAATATGATATGATACATGGGGCTGATTTTAGCAGGGATGGGGCCAAGAATGGTGGCAGAAGCGAGGATGTGCGAGTCAGCGAGCCAACGCTTCAGAGGAATATGTGTGAGGTCCTCTAACTGTGCCTCTGTGTGCCAGTCGGAGGGCTTCGCCGACGGCCACTGCCGTGGGTTCCGCCGCCGTTGCCTCTGCCGCAAACAATGCTGAGTGCTCCTCAAATACGTTCAACCTCATGTCGTCTGGGGGGAGAAACATCATGATGTGTTGTGTTGCAGAATAATTGTACCCTCACTCTATTATGCATTGGGTACTTTCGTTGTGTAAACAGTGTCAAGAGTCTTAAATCCATCCATATTCTCCATTATATATACGTACCTGCAATACCAAATAATTTATGTGTTGATAACCTGTACTTTTTTTCTTTTCCTTTAGTCTAGTCTTGAGTAAGGTAACTATACAACATGGGCTATTTGGATTGGCAGCAGTAAAAATAATTTATTTTTAATTTGGTTTTTAAAAAAAGTTAGATTAAGTAATGTGATTTATGTGTAGATTAATTTTTATAAATAGGTTAGTTTGTGAAAGTAAGTTGAGTCCGTGAAAATAAGTTGTTTGGATCATTCTTAAATAAGTAATTTTAGTTTATAAAATTACTAAAATGTGTATGACTTTTATTAAATAATAAAAAACAAAAAAGTATCAATTTACATAATATAATAATTTTAAATTATTTATAAGTTCCTGATCTCATATATTTTATTTTATTTTTTATTTTTTATTAGGGTTAATTAATCCGCAAGTCCTTATAGTTTCAACGAATTTTGAATCAGATTCCTATAAATTTTTTTCTTTTTATTAGATCCTTATACTTTTATCTTTTTTTTATTAGGTCTTTGTATTTATTTTTCTTTTAATTAGGTCCTTATAATTTCACTAAATTTTTAATCAGGTCCATATAGTTTTAATTTTATTTATTAATTAAATATAAGCTTAATTAAATAGATTAATACTGAAATATGAAATATTAATAATTAAATTAAATTAATAATTATGTAATAAAAAAGTAATAGAATTAATTAATTCAGGAAATTTTTTTAGAACAATTAATTTTTTTGCTGGAAAAATTAAAATCATTATAATAATTCAATATCTTTAGAATATTATTGTTTATAAACTAATATTAAATAATATATACTGTTTTATGTTTATATAATAGTACTATTAGAATTTATAAAATAAAGAATAAAAAATTCAGGGACCTAATTAAAAACAGATGAAAGTATAAGGACCTGATAAAAAGAAAAAAAACTATAAGAACCTGATTTAAAATTATTTGAAACTATAAGGAGCTGTGGATTAATTATCCCTATTTATTATAAGGGCATATTTAAAAATATAGCTTATTGTAGTTTTTACTTATAGCTTATTGTAGTTTTTTATGCAAAAATCTTATTGTTCTACCACCAATTCAAACACCATAAATTTTTCAAACTTATATCTGGTTTTAAAAAAAAAGGTAACTTACGAACCTCCAACAGTTGGGCCAAACAAGCTCTATACCGTTCGTATGGCTAATTTTTAAACCCACGTTTAAGTTGAAGAGAATTGTAATTAGGTTTTAAGTAAGGGATTTAATTACCTTAAAGTTTGTTGACAATTAAAAAGTATGTAATGATAAGTTTGAGAAAAAATAAAACATCACTTTTCATTAATATTTCTTGGTAATTAAATTTTTTTTCTTAGTACCTCATAATACTTTTCCCTTCTCTCTCTTTCCTCTTTTTTCCTTCTCTTTCATTCCTTTTTCCTTGTCTCTTTTCTTCTCTCTCCATAGTAGAAAAATAACTTTTTCTATAACTATAGAAGCACCTCAAAAAAACTTTCATGGTGAGGAAGCTTTTAGCTTAGAAGTTATTCTATTCTAGCATATCACTCATCCAAACAAAATTCAATCTCCATATCTTTCTTCAACTCATATTTCACACTTTGTGACCGGCATCCTTTCCAAATACTAATCCAAATACGCCCTTAGCTATTGGTTAAATAGATAGAATACTCGCTTGGCATCACTTAAATAAACACTTATAAATAAATTTTATATAAGTTGAGATAAAATTTTCCTCACATATTTACATTATATTTCATAAATCATAATTAAAAAAACTACTTATAAACTACTCTAAACATGTAGAGAGAAAATAAGTTGTTTGTGTCACTTTTAGATGCTGTCCTTTGAACTATTTTGGGTGTATCATTGTCCCTTAAGATAAAACAATTCTTCAAGGAGAAAAAGTGCATGGATAAATTATTAACCCAGAAAGAATAAATGAGAGAGGAGTTCGTTCTTTCTTTGTTTTTTTTTTCTTTTTCTCCGGTGATATTAACAATTTAACCCTCCCATTGAAAAAAAAAAAAAAGGTCTTCGAGGCATAAACCCCACATACTAAGACATCCAGATCCATTGAATTTAAAAAGTGTTCAAATTTAATAAATATAATATGCCCTTATTTAATCGGAAAATGTTCTTAATAAATGAGAAAAATCCAAAAGATCTTTTAATTTAATTTGGACTAAAAATATAATATTATTTAGGGTGAAATAATATTATCTTATTATATTGTTATTTGAAAAAATTAATAATATTATGTCCAATTTAGAATTTGATATCCTTAAAAGATTTGTTCTGAAAAATATTTCATATGGAAGACCCAAAACTAAAGAAAGATAAAATTCTATTAAAGATAGGGTGAAAATTAATGTATATATGATATATTTTTATATATATGCATATATTATGTATAATTTTTGAATCCATGTTCATTATAAGAAAAATATAATAATAATATCTCTCTCTTTTTTGTTAATCGTGGTGGATGAATTTTATATATTCAATATACAAAATTCGTATATAATTTATTATTTAATTTAAATATGAGGTTTAAATTAAATTAAGGGTTTATTTTAGTGACTAAAGAGGCAACCTAATTAATAGAGAGGCGGTTGTTTTTTTTTTTAAAAGAGAAATCGAATTATAAGAAATCACTTAGAGAGAGAGAGAGACTGAGAAAAACGTTACTTGAGTCATTTTCTTATGATTAAAAGGGCTAGCGTATTTAATTATTATTAAGACTAGATAATATTAGATACTATGATTAAACATTATAAGATATTAGGATTTGGATTGAATATTTATCTTATTAAGATTTGAATTAGATATTTAAGGATTTGAATTTGACATTTATGTAGGACAAGGATCCCCCATGACTTATAAATAAAGGCAGTTAGTCATCACTCTCGTTATCCTGGGTTTTGATTCATCTTTCGTGATCTCGTGTGGATATCGAACTTAATTAAATTGGTAAGTCTCAATTTTTTTTTCCTGTTTGATTTAAGAAATCACCATGGATCTCAAAAAGTTTTGGTAAAATTTTAAATTTTATTTAATTGCATGTGTGCCTAAAACCCAATCTGTGCTTTAGTTCTAAAATACATGAATTACATAAGTTCACATGAATCCCAAAACTCTAAATACATGAAGCCCACAGTTATATTCAAACTTCTCAGGGTAGTAGACGTGAGCATCCTTTTAGAGATGTTATAAATGATGCTAGGATCTTGCTTCATAGGGATTAGATAGGTTTTTCATGTTCACAGGCAGGACAATCATACTGCTGATTTTCTTGCTAAATTGTCTCGTAGGATAGAGAGCAATTTTTGTATCATTCATCAACCTTCACCTCTGAATCCAGAGGAGGACAATGATGAAGGAGGATAGCTGTAACTGTCTTATTTGTTCTAAATAATGTTATCAAGTTTTAATTAAAAAAAAAAACCTTCTCAGGTCCACATAATATGAATATTAGAATTAGAATTAAAGTGGGTGGTAGATATGGCCAGATTTATTATGTCGTGTTTTCCTCTTTTTCAATAGTATAATTTTTGTCTGTTTGCCAGATTCAATTCTATTAATTAACATAACGACAAAAAAAAAAGAGAAAAATTCTAAACAAATACCTTTGGAATTTTAAATTTTCAAATTGTAAACAAGTAGAAAAATATGCTGTTATTTGTTTTTTTAAATATTATCAATTATTATTAAAATGTAGTGAACAAAACTGATTTAGAATTTTAAATTTAAAGATATTTTTGTGAGATTCTTTAAAAAAAAATAAAGACTTACTAATTAATTAGATTTGTTCCCAGTTATCCAGGTGATTTAACAAGTGAATTCCCCTCTCATGTCAAATCTTACATGAGTGAATGACCTACCATATTTTTCGTTGTATCTAGTTTGATTAAAAACAAGTAATGCATAACAAATGACCATATAATTTGGATCCATATAAGTAAACCTTGTTGAAGATCCCTGGTATATTTGGTACCCAAGGCAATATTATTTATTTAAGAGGGTTTTTTGTGTGGATAATTTAAAATCTTTTTTGTGCCAACGGATAATTTAAAATACTTCAAATTATTAGAGAAATTATTTTTTTTGGATGAAAATTAAACAAATTATTTTAAAATCATCGATCTATCATATTCATCATTTATCACTTGGAAGCTGGAACCGAAAGGGAATAAACAAATTTTACGGATCGAATTATCATTTAAACTAATACATATATTTAATTTATAAGTTCATACTAAAATTCTTCTTATTTTGAACGAAAAGAAATTATTGTTTTTTTGTTTAAGATTGAACGATGACATATAAAGTAATATTATATTATATATTAGGAAGATTTATTAATATTTATAAAATAAAAAATAAAAACTGTGTAATAAAATGCAGAATATCTTATGCAATTTATTTATTTCTTGATTTTTCCCGATGAATCGGTATAAATAGTTTTTGTCTGAATTCTTGTTATTTCCCAGATTAAAAAAAAAAAAAAGTTGGTGAGTTGTATTTTCTTCAGTTTCTCGTCGAATTTAGCAGTGCAAAGCTTCACTCTTGTGAAACCCTAGGAGCGATCGCCAGATCGAAGCTTGCAGGACTTCGATTCGGAGAGAAACAATGGAGGGAGTATTGTCCCCGAACGATCAACAAATCATGGTCTCGTCGTTCTTAGAGGTTGCCGAGGGGCAAACCGCAGAGACGGCCAGACAATTCCTGCAGGTTCTTCCATTACGACTCTCTTCTCTTGACTATCTAATCTAATTTACTCTAAAAATGTGAGAAAAAAATCCATATTTCCAATTCTCCTTCATCTATTGATCTAGAATATGTTTTTGTTTTTCGCCTGGAAACGAATTGGGCGCGCTTGCAATTTTATTTTGAGCGTCTATGCTTCTATACATATTTCCTTGATTTGGATGGAATATTGTATTCCGCATCGTAGAGATGAATGTCAGTGATGGAAAAAAAAAAAAAAGATCCTCACCAGCCAGTTCATTTGCGGCTGGGAGGCGCTTTCCTGATGGGTAGTCGAATTATACATTTTTTTAACTTTTGGAGGAAGGCAGAAAAATAAGCTTATTTGGATGACTATCTTAGACAAGTGTTACTGCGGGTTGAGATTTGTTGGATACAAAGGCGTTCCTTAGAGCATTAGCCTGTGCTGAGTTGAGAAATCAGAAAAAAATAAGTAATAATTGGAACAGATAAAAGGAAAAATTATCATGAATTTATCTTTTACATAGTTGAAGCATAAGTTACTATCAAGTAGGATTTTAAAGAATGATGTTTGGACAGGCCACAAGTTGGAAACTAGAGGAAGCTATCCAGCTGTTTTTGATTGGTAATGAAGGTGGGGCAGGACCACAGCTATCACCATCACATAACCCTCCTGCAGAAAATGATGATTCCTGGACTGGTCGCCCTTCAAGGTAATATAGGCGTTGACTTCCATTGTTTATGCCCAAATCTATATCATTTGTTGGTTGTTTTTAATGCTGCTTCCTTTTTATAATTAATTCAGTGAACAAAGAAAGGATACTGCCATTGAAAGTAGCGGTGGTGATGATGGAGACGAAGTACGTCCTCCATTACCTGTTAAGAGGGAAACCCTTTATGATGATCCAATGCTGTATGGGTATGTTTTATTTTAATTTTCCTTTGCTCTCCTTGGTGATTGAAGCCTTTTATTTCAATCAAGATGTATATTCACTGCTTTTGTCATCCTTTGACTTGCATGTCTGATATGCCTTGTTATATCTGAACAGTGTTTCATAGCTGCATGAAACAGGCAAAACATGTTTCTACTTAGCTAATCTGACTAGAAACTAAATGCTGCATCTTCTATCTCTCATTTTGTCTTCTGTACCTTATTGAAACGTGACATCCTGTATTTGAAAAGATTTTATCTCACAAACGACTCCTTCTAAGTCTCTCCTTTTGTTTTTGAAAAAAGACAGCTGCCTGCACTCTTCCTCTTCCTCTTTCTCTTCTTGTTTTCCCCCCTTTCTAAAGATCCCTTATAGATTGGGTGTTTCCCAACTTGGTTTTCACATAGAATTCCTTTATTTGTGTTCTCTAATTTATAATCTTTATCTCATTTAAAGAAAATTGTTATCATAATGGAACCAATCCTCAATCTTCTATTAATCTACATATTTGGAGACTAAGTCATTGTCACTTGCGAACGCACCTGCCCGTTTCATTTGCAGTATATTGTTGAAGAGGATTTCATTGATGATAATTTATATTTGAGAACTGATTTTTTGTTTTGTTGTTGTTTTTTTTTTTTTTTTTTTGGGGGGGGGGTTGAGTGAGAATTAGATTGAGAGCTACCCTTTTCTGAGGTATCAAATTGAGAAAGAAATTTTATGAGGAACCAAATAGAGAAAGCAATTCTATGATGGGTCGAATTGAGAAGTCAGATTCTAAAATGGGGCTTTCAGTCATTTCCCCCCCTGTTCAAGTGTATCTGATAATTGTTTTTAATATTTTCATTTGTCCAAGAATATTTTCGTTTTTTAATGTCTTTGTTTATCTTTTGTTGTGTTTTAATGTGCAATGCTGGTTCTCGTTTGTCAAAGTATTAATTGAGTTTTTTTTTTCTTTTGGTGGCCTTTGTGCAGAGTATCAAGGATGGGACCTCGTTCACAAGAAGCTAGCTCTTTAGTTGCATTCCGAAATTTTGAAGAGGAAATGAGACGTCCAGGGGTTTGGGAGTCAGAGCAAGGTGCTGTCTCTACAGCAGAGAGTTCTCGTGACAATCTTGCCTCTTTATATCGCCCTCCTTTTCATTTGCTTTTCACTGGTCCATTTGATAAGGTAAATGGGTTTCCTTGTTTTTAGTGTTTGGATAATGAAATATTAAATATATTTTTTTCTTAATAATTTTATGATATTAGGTGTTGCTTGGAAACATTGTTGGTAATGGTTGGATGTGGTGTGGCAAAAACTTCTGTTGAATCCCAGTCTGTGGTAGACTGGGATATTGCAATGTTGAAGTAGTGAACCTATAAATAAATGACTTGCTTGCTAGTTACGTGCATAACACTAGCAGCCTCTAGTTAGATTCTGGCAGGGACAACTAAAGGGGAATGTTAAAATACTACGAGTAGTGCATCATACCTGCAAGATCATTCTATAGTACCTATGGATGATCAAGATTTTTCCTGGCCTAACAGCTAAGTTTTGTTACAAACAACTCTTAATGATTTATTAGGTATATCCTTGAAGGAACCAAAAACGGTAGGCATGGTATTAATTGTTAAGTTACTGAATGACGTGCTCGCTTATCAAGATTTAACCAACTAACCTTTTCAAGACAACTTACTCAATTGATGTCTAGTTGGCGAATGCTCAAGAAGTGTAGGAGAGGAACAAAAAATTGAGGATCTACCGGAGATTTGAGACCTATTATGTGATAGCCAATAGCTTTCAGACAGTCAATTAGTCATTGATGTCATGTAGAAGAATTTCATTTCCTTGCTTTCAGTTGAAATAAAATTGAAGTTGAACCGAAACTGTTTTATTGCCCAACTTAATTATGATAATTAATCATCCATGTATCCAAATCATTTTTGGTTCATCCATTGTACTAGATAGAATCAAGCAGTCAGTTGTCCATAGAACATGTTGGAAATCGCATTTTACATGTGATTATTCTCAAACTATTGTGCTGTTTTTGTTTTCTCCTGTTTGCAAGTGAGTGGGCTGTGATTCTTGGTCACTCGCAAGAAAAAGTGACGCAACTTTTGGATGCTCTATTTAATACTTGTCTCTTTAAAAGGTAACTTAATATTTATAGGCTCAGAGCTATTCTAATTACTATGGCTTCTAAATGCAGGCAAAAATTGCTGCTTCCACGGAGGATAAATGGCTTTTAGTGAATATACAATCTACCAGAGAATTCAGCTCACATATGGTATTATATTGTTGGTGCTTTCTTTAATGTATATATTTATAATGCATAATTGGGTATAACAACATGCACACAATGCATATCATCATTGGCTGATTTCTTTCTTTGTGAAGCTTAATCGAGATACTTGGGCCAATGAAGCTGTCTCTCAGACCATTAGCACAAATTTTATTTTCTGGCAGGTCAGTTTGTTGCTCTCTTTTTTTTTTCCCCATCAGTTCTGTGGTGTGTGATTTCTTCCCATTTTTCTTTCAAGTCATATTCACACCATGCTATTTACCCCCCCCCCCCCCCCCAAAAAAAAAGGCTTCTCAATATGTTAAAAAACGGCATAGTTCACTCTTCATGTGGATTGATTTATTGATGGGATGCACATGGCTTGCTATGCTAAGCCACATTATTCTCTTGATTATATCTACGTTCTCTTAGACTGGTCAAGTGGTAAAATGGTAAAGCCGAAAAATGAGAATAGAAGAAATGGGTCAATGTTTCATTTTATGTTGGCGGTCATTAAGCCGGAGCTGGAGGTAACCTTAAATTAGCATTTCTTTTGGGACAAGTTATGACATGTGATGGTCTAATCTATTCTATCTCTCTTTTTGTGGTCAAATCAACTGGTCCAGCCTAGTTTTCATAGTGCTATGACTTATACATGTCACTTTGAGTTTTTACCGGGACAAATAATGTGACTTTGAGTGACACATATATCCAGGCTAGATTGGAGTTTAGACATATGTCTTGTGTTTTCTGGCTTAAACTTATCGTGATGTTTGCCTTATATTATGTGCATAATGTGTGTGGGATTATGTTATCAGTATATTTAAGTCATGCAGTTCGGCATTGTTGACTCATTCTTTCTGTGAACCTAGGTTTATGATGATACAACTGAAGGTAGAAAAGTATGCACTTATTACAGACTGGACTCAATTCCTGTAGTGCTTGTAATTGATCCCATCACTGGCCAAAAGATGCGCATCTGGTCTGGAATGGTTCAACCTGAAAGCTTATTGGAGGTATGTGATATGTGCGAGCTTCTGATGGCCTGATGAGAAGGTTACGTGGGAGAATGATGAGAAAAAGTTTTGCACTGTTTAACTTTGATCCCTACCTTTGCTGATTTGATAATTCAATTGTATTATTTTAGGGTCTACTACCGTTTCTGGATGCAGGCCCTAAGGATCATCACAGTACTTTGTCTCACAAACGTCCAAGAGAAAGTTCTAGCCCAACTAAAAGTAAAGGGTCTATTGTAATTTTCTATTTGTATTTATTCACTCAATCTTCAAAATAACTGCCTTTTATTGCTAACTGTCCTTTTCATTTACCTATGTTTTTTATTTTACATATTAACAATTTGTGTGACTGGCACTTGCAATGTCTTTCAAGTTGATGCACGCTACCCCTTTATGTTGATGCTGTATTTTTTTTTTTTTTTTTTTAATCATTTCTAGTTGTATTTGGGGTGCTTTGCTGTTATTCTTCAGTGCTGAATTGATCATGATAATCATTGGTGTAGTTGTCATCGTCATGTTAGCTTATCTGACCATTCAGTCCTGGCTTGTTCAGATGAAAGTAATGAAGAAGATGAGGAAGTGTTAAGAGCTTTGGCATTGTCAATGGAAGGCATGAAAGAATCAAGTGCATTGGCTGGAGTAGATAAGGATGCTGAGTCTGTTGACCGAGGACAGGAAACTGTCTTGGCCCCCAGCTACCCTCCTCTGCCTGAAGAACCCAAGGGCGATAAGAATCTCCTATGCAGAGTCGGTATCCGGCTTCCTGATGGATGCCGTGTGCAGCGCAACTTTTTACGGACTGATCCAATTCAGGTAAACATTGTTCTCTCTTATACCTGATTTCATTGGACTGTGCTGCTATGTTTTTTCATGGTTGGTCCTTGACCACCATCAATTCAACATCTAAACGAGCTTTTGCTTGGAATCACCCATTTAATTAAAATAGTTTTAAGTTACTTGGTTAGGATTGCCATAAGTTTTATAGGCCTTCTTTTTTCTTATCACTTGGTTATCTATTTGAGTTCAGGGGTCTCTGGTCAAAACCTGTTTGTCTTCATTGATTGGACTTGTATACTTAAACCTCAGATGCCCTAGGTTCAGTATCTGTATTTTCCCAGGGTCCCAGTTTGTGTGGCGGCTATCCTTTTGGTTCTGTTAACGTGTATGAAATTAAAAGCATGGTTCTCATTCAGTTTATCCGAATAGGATAGGTTACAAAATATTGGGCCAAGGTGGCTATCAGGTCTCACAATCGAGGAACAACCAGTGACAAAATAAATTCAAAAGATATTTCTAGCCAAATCTAATTCTGTAAGATAAGAAAGAGTGCCAATCAGAAATAAACGGTTTAGTCAACTAATGGACCCAAATTTAGGTCTTTTGTCTCGCCAATAGGTGCAAACAAATATGTCTGTTATGTTGGTTGTATATTTCCTGTTATGTAAAGACTTTCATGGATGCCTCTTGCCTTGCACAGCTTCTGTGGTCATTCTGCTCCGCTCAGCTGGGGGAAGGTGAGGTGAAGCAATTTCGGCTGACTCAATCAATTCCAGGAGCTTCCAAAGTGCTGGACTATGAAAGTAATGCGACCTTAGAGGAATCAGGACTTGCTAACTCTATGATATTGATGACTTGGGAATGAATCCAGATTACTAGGTGACCTATGCCAGCGAAGTCAGACTCAAGAGCTCCTGTTTGGGTGGTTCTTATCTATATAGCTATGTTTTCCCTTCTTTGACATGGCTTCGTGTTGAATAGGTAAATGGGAGTCTTATTTAAACTCTCAAGTGTATATTCTCTGAATGAAGGCTAAAATCAATGCCAGTATATCATTGCTTAATTCTTTTCTTTTTTGTTTGAGTATATCTTGAAAGGATTAGAGCAACTTGTAAAGAGGAAGTGTTTTGAAAGTTTGTTTAAATTCATCATCATCTAATCCTTATGAATAAGTGAAATAAGGAAATGAAATACATTGAAAATTTTCTCTTCTTGTGATGGACCATTTCTTCCTTGTTTTGCTCAATTAATAATTCACTCAGTAATCTTGATAGACTACTGTCTATGATTGCCCTTGACATTGAAAGTCCGATGGGGTTGTAAGATCTGCTTGATTATCTCTTGCGCGGGGAAGATTGATGTTTGATCAACTTGAATCATTATTTGTCGTTTTAAATGCAAAATAGGCTTACAGGGCTTCGAAAGAGGATGTGGTGATTTAATATTTTAAGCACATTATGCAAATTATTAATTAAATGTGCAAGAACAATTAACAGTTTCAAAAAAAAAAAAAGAAATTGTTTTATTATTTTCCTTTTCAATTAAAGTATATAATTGGTAGTAAGTTGTGCTATTTGGATTGTACGAGTGAAATTGTCAAAAAATAAAGTAGGGAAGGTTACATTTTTGGCTTAATCATTAATTTTCAATTTAGTCCTATAATATACAAGTTGAAGGTGAATCCCTACCTACCATGGTTCTTCATTTGCAAAGGATAAATGAAGGAGGAAGCTTCCATGCTGGTGAAATTAAGCAAAGCATCGATGTACAATAATTAGAAGTAATTAATTAATTAGTGGGGTTGTTCTGAATGTGAATGCGAAGCAAATAAAGCAATACTTTGATAATCTCTAACAAATAATTCATACCCCCTTTTGTGAGATCCACTAAAACCTTTTTCTGTTTAATGGCTAATTGTCACATCACCAAATCTTGAGAGAGAATATTTGGGGAGAGAGAGGCAGAAATGGAAGCGTACCCTTCATAGCTTGTACAGCCTCAAGTTGCCTTCAATACAAGTTTGCCTTTGTTATTATATTGAAAATAGTTTAATCTGACAAAAGTGTACGTTTAGTGCATGAAAATAAGAAGACATAGAAAGGTATGATAATATGTTGGGTATAATATTAAATATTGGGAAGAGATATTTGGAGATGGCAAAAGGGACAAGCTGTGAAAACAAAGAGGAAGGCTGCCAAAAGTTGTTAGGCTGTTGTGTCATCGTAGTGACCTCAATATATTCCATCTCCAATATTTGCTGCATTACCCTTCTGCTGCCAATGCATCATAATCACACCAAAAATGGCTCTCTTGGATATTTTTAAGAGATATTGTGAAGATTTAATTAGATTGTTTATGTCAGATTTAAATGGTGCAGAGATTTTGTGAAGACCTATACTATGAATTGCAATTCCAGGGTTTAAACAATGCATATCATTCGTCACTTTGCCTTTTGGCATCCCCTAAAAAAAAAATTACTTTGCCATTTCATGAAACAAAATTCTTTTAATATGTTTATCTTTTAAGATGTAAAATAATTTAAAATGAGTTAATTAAAAGCCACATATTAAAGTGCAAATATTTTTTTTTGATGTTTTCACTCAAGAGCGATGGGCACCTGAAAGGTCTGTTTGAGTGCAAACCCACCCTAAAAGCTCAAAATCATGGCAATTTTACCTCTCATAGCAAAGAATTAATTCTAATCGTTAAAATAGCGATATTAACTGTAGTATTTTTTACTAGAAGGCAACATTGTTACAATTTTAAGTTTTCAGAGCAAATTTGGGCCTAAATTTATGAGTAAAAACTTTTCCAAATAAATTTAGACTATATTCTATTAAAAATGTATAGAATAAAACAGAGGGGAGAGAGAGAATGAGAGATGCTTGTTAGTGAAGGATGGTCCAGCCCTTGCTATTGTGGAGCAAAGTCTCACAACTTTTGGAGTTTGGATGGAAATGAAGAGAAAGCAACAGAAAGAGATGGGGGGCCCACAAGGTGATGCAGCTTCACATGTCTTTCCAATGTCACCATCGCACTCACATGCACATCAACAGCACATCTTCACTATTTTTGCATGCCTCTGTAATTAGTAATAATGTCCCCCCGAACACTCTGCTCCGTATTTGGAATATATGCACTGTTTAATTTATATTTCCATCACCAACAATTTTCATTTCCACTTTTAATGATAAATTTACTTTTCTTTTGAAAAAAATAGCAGTTAAACTAAATTTAAATCTAAGCTATTTCATTTTTTTTCCAAGTAAAGGGATATACACTAAGAATGGAATTGAACTCGTAATCTCTCACTTATTTTCATGCCATGAGGCTATAAAATCATTAGTAAACTATCTAATTTTTTTTTTTTTGCTTAGTACGGATATCCTTCTATTAAAGACAATTCTGTTTAAAGTATTATCAGGCATTAAATATAAACTTTTTTTTTTTAATGAAAACTCAAACTGTAGTGCATTATATAGTGAGAGATTAGCTACTTTCATTAAACGTGTGAAAGATTAGTTACCTTCACTAAACCTCCCATGGTTAAACTATCTGCTTTTAATACGAAGAATCTAGACAAAAGATTACTAGCCCGTGTAACGCGCTAAGAAACTATATTGTTCCCTTGATATATACTTGATGTGATTGTGTGTGTATGGATTTAACACTGTTGATGCCCTTTTTGTCGTTTCAATTAATTAATGATCTTCACGAACTTGCCTCCTGCATATATGTTGTCGTTCACTGCTATATATCTATATGTTAGGTATGGTGGTAATTTCGGTTGGTTTGAGAGTACTTGTCTGTCTGTACGTTATCTTATATTCATCTACCTGCGTCCCATTTACAATAATCAAATAAGAAAGTACTACCTCCAATTTTTAATATGAGAATTAGATAGCTAATTTTTGGACATTAAAAAAAAAATAGTTAAGTTAGTTATATGTAACAAAATGTGTTTTAGTTTTTATAAACTATCCTTTTTAATTAATTATGTGCATTGGATATCTTTTGATTGAGAATTGCCTTAATACGTATGATTATTAAAGATATTTTGGATAAAAAAATTGTAAGAGGTAAAGTGAATTAAAATCTTATATTTAGGATTTAACTAAATCTGTTATTTAGCTCTTATATATTTATAATCAAAGCTAGTAATTACTACTTCCGATCCTTAATATAAGAGCTAATTGATTGATTTGAGTAAATTAAAAAAATAGTTAAGTTAGTTATTTATAATAAATACTACTCCGTTCCTAATTATAAGAACTTTTTGGCCAAATTGCGCTTTTTAAGAAAACATTTAAAATTAATTAAAAGCAATTAATATGTAACAAATGTAATTTTTTTCCAAATATATCCCTAATAAATGTAAGAGAGTAATAGTAAGATAAATAAAGAGAGAATGTTGTCTTCAATGCAATATATGAAATTTATTAGGGTTAAAATAGGTAACAATGCATTAAATATTTAGACAAACTCAAAGGGGACCTTATAAAAAAAGACAAATCCATTCAAAAAAGAAGATCTTATAATTAGGGACGAAGGGAGTAAGTGTTATCTTTTCTAAAATGTCCTTACTAATAAAATCCCCCCGAACACTCAAAAATTATCTTGAAAAAAATAGATAAATATGAGAGATAAAATAGATTGGGATCTTATATTTAGAATTAAAATAAAAGTTAAACAAACTCCTATATTAAATGCAGGAGATAGTATTACCTTTAGGTTAATTGAAACTCATATCCCGACTATGATATCTAAATATTTTTGTTTCAATCTAATATAACTTCTTGAGATTCGTGAAATGCAATAGATTCGTTGAGATTATGAGCAATTTAGCAAGCCTGTTTGCATAACTTTTTTATATGTATTATTTTTTATCTGAAAAGTATTAATTAGGTCAGAACACTATGAATCAATTACAAACTAGCTCTTATCTATTAAGGATTGGAGGCAGTATTAACCAACAAATAAAAACAAGATAAACATAAAAATTCTTGATTCTTTGTGACAAGCTAATTTGAGATATATGCATGTCGTTGTCAAGACTGAGAAATATTTGAGAAAGAGGTTTAATAATTAATGGGAGGACATATATGAAGGATGGATGTGAGGTGGTATTGTATTTATGTGTGATATTTTTGTGGAGATATTTGGAGAGTTCAAACACCAAACTCCTTTTTAAATTTCTCTCACTGCCATAACGGTAATGACCAAAAAGAAGAGTTGCATCCATCTCCTTTTCTCACTGCGCCACCCCCACAAACATTACATATATGATAATTGACTATTCATCTTAAAAATCACACGTGTTTTTCCCCCCTCATTCTAGCTTAGGGGTGTTTGGGAAGCTGTAAAAATGTTTCTCAAAAACACTTTTTTTGTAAATTGAGACGAATTCCTTTACATATTTACTTCGTATATTATAAAATTACTTTTAAAATCATGATTTCGTTTCCATCCAAACACTCCCCAAGTCCAGTGTTGAGGAAGCCAGTTTTTTAAAATTTGTACAGATTAACTCTTACAATCAAGTATTCTATTATTTCACTGAGGAAGTACAATATATATATATATATATATATATATTATTGAGCAGTCATAAATCCTCAGTTTGAAAAACATACACTCCGACCAAGCGGCAATATATACAAGGCAGAATATTCTTAAATTCATATTCAGAACAAATTACAGATACACTTGTCGGAGGAATATATACATATATGAGCAATTCAGCACTGCAATGTTGTGAAAAGAAAAGGAGGAGATTTTTTTTTTTCGGATATTTCAAAAGAAAAATGAGCAATCTATATATATATAATTATATATGCAATATAATAGAGTTGTAATACATAAATGAGATTCCTGATGAGGCCTAGGGTTTCGAGACCACTCGTTACACTGAAAGGGATATATGCATAGTGGGGTTCCATACATATCAAATCAGTGTGTGTGTGTGTGTGTGTGTGTGTGTGTACATATAAAAGTCACACCACCCCACCGCCATGGCAATGATCTGAAGCCGCAGGAAGTTTCAAGTTTTAGATAGGGTATGACCCACTGCTTCAGATTCTCTCTCTTTTAGAGAGACATATCAAGTTTGCAAACATGCCTACGATTTACTGCTTCTACACACACACACACACACACATTCTCTTCTTTTTTTTTAATTGATCTTTTTGTTAACTTTCTCATTTACAGAAAAATTAGTCAAGGAGC